AACAGTGATTTATTCTCATCCTCTGAAAAGAGATGGAGCAAGTCAGGAAGTTACAGTCCTGGTGAACAAGGCAGGAGCAAATAAATGATTTATACCTTGATACTCAGTTGAACTTTGATATAATTGTCATGACTATTTGCTTCACAATGGTATTTAATCATTTCATGGATAAATGTTAGTTGTGATGGATCATCACAGATTCAAACTACCAAGAGGTGTTATTAAGTTCTGCAGTGCTCTGAGGCTTTGTTCAAGTGTCATACTTTTGACCTTGACAGCCTTGAGCCAATCACCTCTCTCAGCCAGACCTACCTCACTTTCTCGTTCCTCTGGCTTCTTCTCTAAAGCCATTTATATCATGCATTTACCTGCAAATAATTTATGCAATGATTTTCTGAGAAGGACAAAATGTGTCTGCCTGATACTTCTCTACCAATTACCATATCATGAATATGAATTCATAATTCAATTAGCATGGATAAACATATTTTGCTGAATCTGCTATCAGTAACAGCACAATCTGTGTTGAATCTTCTAACAGTAACAGCTGATATGCTTCCCACTGAAGAAATGATCTAAATGATGACAAGGTAATGTGCATGGACCACATTTTCAACGGCTGCCAAGCACCTCTTTTAGTTTATTAAAAAAAAACTGCCTCTGTAACCACTTTAGTCCAGAAGTGAGTAATCTGGTGTCCTCATTATATTTTGGGATGAAACTCCCATCAACACAAGCTAGCATGGCCAGTGATAAGGGATGATGGAAGTTGAGGCTCAAGTTATCCAGAGGGCACCAAGAAGTCTATCCTTGCTCTATATTTAAGGGCTCCTAGAGTTCCCCTTGAAACACAACACACAGGTAATCTCTAGCATTCTGCCCAAACTGTCCAGTTACGCTTCCTAATCAAACATCATCAACCAATGTTTTTTACCAAGCCAGATCCTCCTACAAAAATGGCTCTTCTACCCTATTCTACCAGTCTGCATTGTCTTTTTCTTTTTAGGACTCTGAATAAACTAAAATGTTCAGGCTAACTGAGACCAGACAATTTATTTCTTCTATACAAATGATCTAGAGATAGGGAAGAACAATGAGGCAGCCATTACTTGTGAATAATCCCAGAAGATTCAGAATGTTAAAATCCCAGTGATTCTGTGATGAGCTCCAGATTGGTATTTCCACGCTGGGAAACAAGATGATCATACATACACAACAATATGTTATACCACCATGGATGGATGCTCTTAAATTGGTAGTTGCACCATACAGAATGTACATATACACTTTCTAATTATTAACACCAACACTGAAGAAAATATTAAAAATTCTGCTGAGTGGGGCAAATAAAATTTGTTCCTACTTCCTGTTATTTGTATTCCTAAAGTACCACTTGGAAACATAAATCTACTCGTTTACAAATGAAGTCACATTTCTCCAATTACATACTTGATTGAATTTACCAAACAACTCCAACAGCCATAGCAGTACCAATAAGCAGTACCAGCTTCAAATTTGGTGAATGCTGACATGCACAGTTGTTTACAGCCCTAGAAATTTCTGTGAATGCCCCAAAATAAATATATAGTTCTTCAGATTAGAGTGGATTTTAAACTTAGATTTTGGGACATTATACAGAATTAATCGGACATTGTCAATACATGTGTTAAAGTGCTGTCCTCTTCAGTATCCCATAAATAAAACTCTGTATGTGTCAATAAACATTATCCAGAGACAAATACCTGTGTACACATTGATTGGATTGCTCATTTGAATCTTCATTTGGTGGTGAATAATCATCTGCAGCTGACAGTGAACTGTCGTCTAATCTGTACTAGATTTCTCCTTAGACTAGCATTTAGCCCCTAGGATAGCTTGTTTTTAAATATGCAATAAGTGCACATCCTAGGTGCAGAAATGTTACTCTATTCAATATAACGTGTATGTGAATAAGCAACACTGTGTTTTTATTAGAAGGTATATGAAAGCAATTCCTACTTCACAGAATAGACCATTATTTTTTAGAACTCGCTGACATGAGATATGGCCACCCACAGTGGCTTATCTCACTTCAAAGGGTAATTAACAAATTAACAGGTAGAGACCATGAGCTAATGGGAATTTACCGTATTTTTCGCTCCATAAGACGCACCGTTCCATAAGACGCACCAATTTTTTAGGAGAAGAAAACAGGAAAATATAATCTGTTTTCTTCGCTCCATAAGATGCACAGACTTTCCTCTCCCCTGTTTTGTGGGGGGAAGTGCGTCTTATGGTGCGAAAAATACGGTACATTGTGTTTAAGAACACCTAACAACAATACTGCGTCTTATGGTGCGAAAAATACGGTACATCGTGTTTAAGAACACCTGACAACAATATATATTTGTTTTAGCTCATAGTTAAAAGAAAGCACTGAAGAGGAAATAGGACACTGAAGCAGATGGACCCTTAATTTGATCTAGCCTGCCTCTCACTATGCTTAAATGTTACATATACAGACAAATGTGACACATTACGGTCTTCTTACATCTACGAACTAGCATTATATCTTATATAGAAACTCTGGGACAACGAGGAATAAGGATTAATAAAAGATTTCCATCCATCAAGCTTCTTTGTAGGTCCCTTTAAAAATGCACACGGACATAAGGTAATATACTGTGTATACTCTGTGAGATACCTAAGTAAGGAAACTTGGCAAACCCCTGAAGCTTTAATCTGAGCTTGGAAGCATTAATGGAGCTGATGCTATTGGCTCCTGGGAGAAGACTGCATTCTCACTCAACAGGTGACCATAAACCATGATGCAGTAGTCTCCTTTCTACGTTCCATTTTGAATCCAAGATTTTCAAAATGGGGAAAGGATGATGCAGTAGTCTCCTTTCTACGTTCCATTATGAATCCAAGATTTTCAAAATGGGGAAAGGGTGATGCAGTAGTCTCCTTTCTACGTTCCATTATGAATCCAAGATTTTCAAAATGGGGAAAGGGTAAAAGAGGAAAGCCAGCAAAGAAATGTGATGAATAGCTGATAAAATAATGTTTCTCTTCCTTAATAAGAGTTTAGTGCTGAAATTGCCCAGAGTAAAGGAAACTACTAGATGGTGCAGTACGTATGTATGCATGTATGTATGTATGTATGTATGTATGTACGTACGTACGTGCGTGCGTGCGTGCGTGCGTGCGTATGAATGAATGAATGAATGAATGAATGAATAAATAAATAAATAAATAAATAAATGGTGATTAACAAGTACAGTGGTGCCTCGCTTTACGATTGCCCCACATTACGACAAAACCGCATTACGACTATCTTTTTGCAATCGCAATTCCGATTGCAAAACGATGGACTGAATGGGTTTTTTTCGCTTTGCGATGATTGGTTCCCTGCTTCGGGAACCGATTCTTCGCAAAACGATGATTTTCCTCCAGCTGATCAACGGTTTCAAAATGGCTACCGGGTAAATAAAATGGCTCCCCGCTGTTTTCTGGGACGGATTCCTCGCAAGACAGCCACCAAAAATGGCTGCCCTATGGAGGATCTTCGCTGGACAATAAGTTTCCAGCCCACTGGAACACACTGAAGGGGTTTCAATGCGTTTCAATGGGCTTTTTATTTCCGCATTACGACGTTTTCGTTCTACAGCAATTTCGCTGGAACAAATTAATGTCGTAATGCGAGGCACCACTGTACAGTAGGAAACCCACCCACCCCCGATATCCATGGGATCAGTATCTGTGGTTTCAGTAATCCACAATTTACCACAGCCCTATATACAACATATGAGGGGCAGGCCTTGTGACTTTTATCTTGCCCTTTTGTGACCTTTGTCCTGCCCCATATGGGGTACATCTTAGAACAGATCCCCTTTGGATATGGGAGTGCTACTATATACTAAAGAACATGCAAAGCAAGATGTCAGCAAAATGAAACGACTACCTAGTGAAATTATCCACTGATTTGTCAAGCAAACAATGGTACAAAAATCAGAACATGAGATTTAAGGACCAGATATATCTCTGGCCCTAAAGCAAAGACCAGCATTATTTTTTAGTTTGGCCTTGGCTGTGATTTTAGAGTGCTGTTTTGCAAGTAATGGTAAAAACACCCCGTTCTAATGAGTATTTTTAATGCATCATTCTAATAAGCGCAGCATGTAATATGGGAAACAGCAATTACTGACTCAAATTATAGCCTCATTCCTATTTGAATGATTCATTGAGAATACATTTCAGATCCTATGAACAGCTGTGATCTTAAAAGATGTACATGTTTGTCACACAGCATACGTTCTCCATTCTATTCATCAGGGTAGAAAAAAAAAAATTCGGGACTGATGGGAAAAAGCCATGGAAATACAAAAACTTGGCTAGGTATTTTAAGCCATGGAGAAAAAGCCATGGAAATACAAAAACTTGGCTGGGTATTTTAAGCCATGGAGATCTGCAATTAAATGCAGTCCTAAGTGACAGAGTAGGAGCCTGGTGAGTGACAGGGCCATGCAAACATATGATCTTAGGTAGAGTCCACTAGGATGAAAATATGCAAGCTCACCTTCCCTGGTTTTAATTCTTCTTTGTTACATTTCTGAGGAAATCAGTAAAACTGGATAAACTAAACAACACCCTTTTATAGCACTAAATATAATGAAAATATGTAACATCTGAATATCCCATACTAAAAAACAACAACTCTTTTTTTAATACACAGGTGCAAACAAAATGCGCAGCTGCAAGGGACAAGCATCCCAGGGAGAAGAACCACAGCGAAGACTCAGGTATATGATTGTATGCCTAAAAATTACATCTGTGCTTGACTCGGCAAAGCCTTAAGTTCTTCTGACACTTGTCTCTCAAGAACTTTTTTGCTCATTAAACCTTCTTTCTGCGTGGAAGAGTCTTCGGGTCCAACACGCTGCCGCAGCTCTTCAAAGAGCAAAACAACAGAGTAAAGTGAAAGCTGGGCCAAGAATACCTTGACAGTCTCCATTTCTTACCTGGTTCTGTGCAGTTCTTTTCTTCGTGTGACTCATTGTTTGATGCCATCAATCTTCTATTCCTCCATAATTCTGACAGAACATTCTTCTCAACAATAGCAGAATCTTGTCCTGCGTTAAAAAAAAAACAAGCACATTATTTATAGTGACAAAAAAGCCTTGGCTGTTTCCATCCATATGCAATTTCCATCACCCCTCATAAGATATAGATTCCTTAGGACTTCAGCAAAACTTGGCATCTTCTATTGGTATGTATTACATTATATTTGGCTGAATGCATACTGTAGAATAAAAGCCGCAGCAAGACAAGAGAATCGAGAGAAGAGAGTCAGTATAGTACAGTGCTTAGAGTAGTGGTTTGAGGCAAAAATCAGAATAAAAATCTACAGTTAGTTATGAAGCCTATTGTGTGAGCTTGTGCTGCTCATTGGCCAAAATCCTGTTGCTTAGTGTAAGCCAAATCATAACATTAGGTTCACTCCTTCATGGTAAACAAAGCGTCTCTTGTGTGTTTCCCAGGGCACCTATGCATAAGCCAACATGTGCACCAGCCGGTAGGAATCACAGCAAGGAGAGTTTACAAGGGAGGAACAAACAGAAAGTTACAATTTGGTTTATACTAAGCAACAAGATTTCAGGCACTATCTCATAATCTAATCTATCTCACAGGATTGTTCTCAGGACAAATTAGCACCCAAACTCTAAATGGCCTCAGTCCAAGATATCTCAAAGCCCATATTTCCCATTATGAGCCAGCTTGGGTGTTAAGATCATGAGATGCCTTTCTCTCAGTCCTGCCACCTTCACAGATGCATCTGAGGGGGACACAGGAGAGAGCCTTCTCTGTTGCTCGTCCCAGACTTTGGAACTCCTTCCCACACGAGGCCAGTCTGACCCCATCTTTAATGTCCTTCTGTTAGCAGGCAAAGACCTTTCTCTTCAGCCAAGCCTTCCCCCAGTAACTGGCCACCTGAGTATGATTTTTGTATGGGTTGCTATGCATTGCTGTTTTTATTGGTTTTTAGGACTACTTGTTTTTTCCATTTCTCAGAATGGCATCTCTTTTGTTTCCTTTTAAATACTTTTATACTTACTGTTTTTGCTTTACTATTGTCTTTTAATGATGTAAAAGGACCCGCCCTGGGTCCTTTTCAAGGAGATAGGTGGGATAAAAATATTTTAAATAAATAAATGGATAAATAGATAATCTAAATACTGAAGCCAATGCAGGGGTAGAATACAGTATAATGATACATCCATGGGAAAAAATTAATATATCTGTAATGAGTAAGGACAGCTATCAGCAAGATAAATTTTATATAAGCAGTTATCTCCTCTCTTTTTTTCTCCCTCTGCTTTCTTTTGAGCTACAGATAACTATATGGGGAAACAAGATAGTAAAAAAACACCCCGTGGATCAGTTTTGGACCTTATGGAGAGGCTATGTTAGATACTGAAAAAAACATTCAAAAAGTACTTTGAAATGTTCAGTGAGTCTTTGCAGTGCTTCTTAAAAGTAAACATCGTACACGGCATCAAGATGCTTTTTTTAACCAAGCGTTGGAAGTATCTTTAGCCAACAGCTTCTTACTTCCCTTTATTCTGCTTTGTAATTCAGCCATCAACTCATGTAGACGCACACTTGAAACCTCCCCATTCTACATATAAATTGTCACCTACAAATGTGCATGTTTTTGAGGAAGAGTGGAATAGCAGAAGGCTAGAAAATGAGAAAGCAGAAGTCTTTAAAGGGCAATAGACTAATGAAAGCAAGACATTCTAAGACAGGCTTAACTAAAAAAGGAAGTGGTACAGACATCATAGGGAAGAAAAACAATAGAGAAAAATCTGAAAGGGGAAGGAAATCTGGTAGGGAGGAGAGATACCCATGGCCAGGGGTTGGCCAGGAACTCCAGAGACGAGGCAGTCTAAAAGTCACCATATGATCTGAAATAACCAGCCAAGTCTTTGGCTATAGACTGCCAGTTTACAAAAGGATTACAGACAAGTATGTCTACATATTTTTCCAACTGCAGTTTTTGTTTGTTTATTGTTGTTGTTGTTGATTTGATTTTGTGCTTATCATTCAATGTATGCCCCAAAGTGGCTTACATAAAACAATAACATATTGTAAAACTAATATATACAACAAATATATACTTCCACATCCCTCCCTCCAAACCACCAGTTTCCTTAGATCATTATGAACAACAGCTGCATCTACTAAACTGAGATTTAGTTTAGTAAGGGGGAAAACTTGAACCTATAAATATTGGAACATCATGGCAACATTTAATCAGTCTAACTGGGTTCACCCAAAGTTCCTCAGTCCATTTCAAGAAGAGTCCCTTCATTCAAGCAGAAACAATCTTGCAGAGCACACTGTTGTTTTTGTGGGTATGAAGTGGAATGACTAGTGCTGGAGACCACAATGACAGCAGTCACATCTTGCACTTGACCTCCCCCCCCCCAATTTGGGATTAACTCTGATTTACATAGTTCAGGACATGAGATGTTTGCTGCTTTTCACCTTCAAATAAGCTATCCCAAGAAATGGCAGGCTTTCTTTTAGGAGGTCATTAAGCAGATGCTGCACAAATGTCTGTCAAGAAAGATGGAGTTGCAACCACTGCACTGTAACTTCTATACTGAGGAAGAGTAAACTACATCAGGGTTGGGAAAACATACAAGATCCAGGTGGCGTCGGTAGTTCGCACCGCCTTTTTCCACCTTTGGCGGATTGCCCGGCTGCGACCCTATCTTGACATGGGGGCGCTCACTACCTTGGTACATGCGCTCATAATCTCAAGATTAGACCACTGCGTTCTACGTGGGGCTGCCTTTGAGGCTGATGCGGAAACTTCAAGTGGTGCAGAATGCAGCGGCCAGACTCCTTACTGGAGTGAGAAAACGCCAACATATTTCTCCTGTTCTGGCCATGCTGCACTGGCTGCCCATCCGTTTCTGCATTGAATTCAAAGTTCTAATGTTTACCTATACGGCCCTAAACGGTTTAGGACCTCGATACTTGGCGGAGCGCCTGCTCCCACCAAGATCTACTCGGATCACCCGCACAAGTCAGGAGGTGAGGCTGAGGAGCCTGACGCCGAAGGAGGCCCGGAGGAAAAGGACTCGAAGCCGGGCCTTCTCGGCGGTGGCTCCTTGCCTTTGGAACAACCTTCCTCCGGAGATTCACGAGGCCCCTACGCTGGGTACTTTCAAATGCCAACTGAAAACATGGATGTACATCTTCAGGTGTTTTTGAACTGCAACTCCCAGAAACTCCAGCCAGCAGAGCTGATGGTGAAGGCTTCCGGGAGTTGCAGTCCAAAAACATCTGAGTAACAAAGGTTAAGAACCAGTGCTGTAAGCCGCCCAGAGTGATCGAATATACCAGATGGGCGGAATATAAATCGAACAAACAAACAAACAAACAAACAAACACTTTGTTGGTTTTGCTTATTAGAACCCAGAGACCCAGCCCAGTTAAAGCAAAGCAAAGCGTGCTGCCCCATAGCGCTTCAAGCACTCTCTGTGCGGTTTACAAGTTAATTATGTAGGCTACACATTGCCCCCCCAGCTAGCTGGGTACTCATTTTACTGACCTTGAAAGGATAGAAGGCTTGAGCCGCTACCTGGGATTGAACCCCGGGTCATGAGCAGAGTTTTAGCTGCAGTACAGAAAATTTGTTTGTTTGTTTGTTTGTTTATGTTTATATCCCGCTGCTCTGGGCGGCGTACAGCATACAAAATGAGATACTTAATATTATGCATACATAGTATCTTGGATTTTAAAAGAAGCATCACGGACCACATGCACCCCCTCCCCTCCCGTGTCTTAGGCACATCTTCCCACGCGCGAGGGCTTGTACTTCTCCCAATAATGGCAGAGTTGGCCCGAGAAGCCATGTCAAAGAGAGCTCCCCCCACAGACGGACCCGCCTCTTCCACTCGCCAGGCAAGAAGGCAAAGGGAGGAAACACGTGTCTTCTTTCTCTAGCACGGAATGGGTGCAATACGGGCACCACCGGCCGCCTCGCTGAAACCGCCCCGAGACCAAGCCAGCGGCCTAAGCCATAGAAGGTAAAAAATTCTGAGTCCAGCAATTTGATTTGAATATGAGAAATGAAGAGAGAACTGTGAGGGTTCAGTCTTTGGGGCTTCCCAGGGGTTCCAAAAAGGAGTCGACGCTTTTGGTTCTGGTTTTAACTGTGATTTATTAACCTTAACAACTGGAACGTCAACATTAACAGGTGGTGGTTGCTTAGTCTCTTGCACTGAGTCCAACTCAGGTAAGGGTACTTCAGTATTGTTCATAACCGTTGCAACAGGTTCAAGTTCCCAGGGTCCAAGCCCTTTCCCTCTCACTTGCTTCCTTTGCCTCTCGCAGCTTTTTACGCCAGGCTTTAGCTTCCGTCTCTCCCCAATAGGAGGGCCTCTGCATTAGACCTCTCCTACGCCTCCACTCTGCCTCCTCCTTGGGCACACGGACCTGTTCCAAGCATCCGGTCCAAGGATCTTCGATCCACACCATTTCCCATCCACCAGGGATATATCCCCTGCCCACGGTTATATCCCCCACCCCCCCTTCCTCCTCCTTTAACTCCACCTTCCCCTTTCCCTCCAAATCTTCCTTATTTGGCTCAGCAGCCATTAACCCTTTAAATGTCTCTTCCAAGTCACTGGTATCCACTGCACAGGATACCACCCCCTTTGGGGGGGGGTTTCCTCTAAGTTCAAGGTGTCGGTACCTGGTCTTGCTTTCGACCTGGGGAAGCAGGAAGGCTGGTCTGTGTCCTCTTTGAGGTTTTTAAGAGAGTCGGCTCCACCAGAAAGACCCGCCGAGGTTGGTCTTTCCCTTCACAAGAACATAGTTCTTAAATTCAATGACCAGCTTCCAAGGCATTCAAGAGAAAGTTAGGCAACCATTTGTCAGATTTGTTTTGATCTGGATTCCTGCATTGAGCAGCTGTTGGACTCAATGGCCTTACAGGCACCTTCCAACTTCATGATTCTATGATAAGGGAATCCTGTTGGACTCAATGGCCTTACAGGCACCTCCCAACTTCATGATTGTATGATAAGGGAATAGAAATCCTGGTTGATCAACT